TCCCAGCAATTGTAGTACGTCTACTACTGCCGAACTTGAATTTCCTACACTGACCCGACGCGATTGTCTGAGGTATGTGACTTATGTGAAGTTATCTAACTTCAAAAAAAATGGTCAATATATTCTTTACAAAATGTTAGAATTATTTGGGTGTGAATATTTGCAATTCTGAGTAGATTTTTTTTGTCTCCTCTCCAAAGATTCGGGAATTTCCTTGACGTTTTATGCACTCCGCTCATATACGTTATGTTTCAATCGTTTCTACTCTAGCAAACTTCATTTGAGTCCAAATTGTCTCAGTGGTCCAGCAGTAAAAGTTACCTCCCGTTCATTCACTGATTCCACTTTTAGCCCTTCTAAACGCCCCGTGCTCCGTTGAAGCATGCGGCCATTTCGTGCCCATGTTATAACCACCGATTCATACTATCTAGCCGTCCCGAATCGTCTCTTGAAGTGTAGCTTAAACTTCAAAAAGCGCGCTCTGCCACTGCCGGAAGTGCGTCAGACAAAGAGAGGGGGTCAGGCTATAGAGAGACCGGAAACCGGCTTTAAATAAGGGCAAACGTTCCGCTACCGGAGGTCTTTAGAGAGCTGTTGGCCGGAAAAGAGTAAGAGGGCGGCAATGCTCGAGTGGCGCGTTCAGAGCTTGCTTAGATAATAACCCACTTAATGAGTAAATTAAGGCTAAGTTAAACATCCTCGGGTCTCCCCGGGCCCGACCTCGCTAAACGACCCGTCCGCCTACTTCCTAAACGCTTCTATAAACTTTACGGCAGTGGCAAAATACGTAGACATGAAAAGCCCGTTGACGTTCAATCGTACTTAGGCTTACCTGTCTCTTTAGTCATAGTACGCTGCTGACAGTACGGTTGTTGTACCTACAACCTATGATATAGTGTAAAAATGTCGGTTATATCAACTACAAGTTCACCTATACATCTGACCGAAAGAAACACTTTCTGAGCTTTATAACTGCTTGCTGGTGTGACTGTGAAATGTTTTGGAGATTTTTTTATTGTTAGAATCTATTCATGTATAAACATACACAATAGTATGTAGATCTGGGTTAATTTTGCAGTGGAAACATCCAAATATATAGATAAAGTGTGCTATCTATAGAAAAGCTATAGCAAACGGTGACAAAAAAAAGCGCAATCAGAGTACCGAAAGTTCCTCCTGCCTTAAAAAGCAGAGAAGCGTAATTTCACTGCGCTGAGATTCGGCAGCGTGCAAGGTTGTGGCAAACGGATCCACGTTATTCTCGAATGATACATAGTCTCAATTCAGCCCAAAAAAGCGTCTTGGTGGATGTTTTAAGCTAAGTATCTTTTTTTAGGCCTTGCTCAATGAGCGTGTCATTTTACTGTAGTTACACGTATTATATCTACGATCGGCGTGATCATCCCCGAATAATTTAAATACTTAAATTTGAGTATCTATTGTTTAAATAGCTAAACGCATTTAGCATTATAGGTAAAGGAATTTTCGAAAGAGGTTAGATATATTCGCCCATATTAATGTAATGTTAAACGAAAATCACTAAGTGATCAAGATATCATCTTTTTACCACTTTCTCTCGCACGTTCGCCACAGTGTCAGCAGGACGTCCGCAGTGACGGGAGTGCAGTATAGGAGTCAACACCTTACTGATGGCTAGAGTAAAGGGGAGTGAAGACTGGTGCCGTTAATGAAAAGAAGAGTCGCTGGTCCGCAAGGCGTAAGCCGATGGCTTAACCAAGGGACAACAAGAAACTGACAGACACAAGGAAAGCCCTGGTTTCCGCTGTTGAAGGAGTTGAGCAAAGTGCGGAGAGTACTGGGGCATGGGTCGATTTAGGGCCGAACGCACGTCTGAAGAGCCTCTCTAGGTTAACATGGGAAGGGAGAAAGTTGGGGGACGCAGATTTAATTTAAGCTTCCTCCTCTGGCCTCTGCCTGACCGTCTGCGGGGAATGAGGGCGGTGGAGTTCGAAGCACTACGACGTACCGCTATTTGAGAGCGACGAAGCCTCGTGAACACCACCAGCCTCTCGGATGAGCTTATTCTATCCTTAGCTTCCCTTCGCTACTATCAAAGCAACTGGTGCTGATAACACTACTGGCACCTCTGCTGGCTAGGTACTATGGTAAGCTACTTGACGTGGAGGGTAGACAATGGTCTAACAGAACCTGAGAAAACCGTGGACCTGACTTTCATCGGCTATCGACAGAGACAAGAGCGGCATCGATCGTGCAAAGGCTGCACTTCATTAGCTTACTTACGGCTTCTGTCGGTCCACAGGAATGCCCTGGCTCTTCGGGGACGTTCTTCAGATCTTGAACCAAACCCACCTCTATAAAGGGTGCCTCTCCTTGCCCTTTTCGTCTTAACACATTGAGACGGACCTACATACGTGCAGCGTAATGGTATATATAAACGATAGTGGTGATTATGTGGGCATGCAATTTAAAATACGTAGGAAGTAACACACATCGAGCGCATTGCGAGAAACACGAATTACAATTAAGGAAGTGACTTCTATAGGCTTTAGAATCATGCAAAAAATAGGCCGAATACAGTTCTAGAATACTTAGAGGAAGTATAGCACGTTCGAATGGCTTACGATGTATAGATACAACAAAGCGATGTTAATAATCTCTTCGCTATACCGCTAAATCCAATGAACTATAGAGAACAGATGCTTGGACGCCCTTACAGCAGGTTAATTTAGGTTTTACATTGAATGTCGATGATGCTATGAAAATAATAGGTAATTTAGGTTTGGGCGAAAGCGGTTGTGCGGCATCGAAGTGAACGCTTTTAAGGTGAGGGTGTTTAAAGCCAAGCCTTATAATTTGTCAATAAAGCGAGTTTCGAAAATAATCTGACTTGTCAATCATACATGTGGTCACCGTCATGCCCCAACAGGCACTTTACAGTGCCAAAAGTGAAATGATACCGGGTATCGTGACTAAATTTAATACAGCTCTGGTTCTGTCCCGTGACAGCTTAGATTTAAGGGGCAGTTATGTATGGCTGTGGTTTTCTAATAAAGCCATCATCGGACGCATTACCCTTTCATCACGAAAGGATCGTTCGTTTATCAAACCCCGCGTTCCCAGGGTCAGACAAACAAAAGTGTGGTACGCCGAACTACTTCGAATAATTTCCCATGGAAGCTAGTCGACCGACCGACCGACCGTCCGCCCGCCCGCCCCTATCCGGTTTGTGCCGAGCGTTTCGTGTACTCTTCAGCGTCACTCAATAAAAGTGCTAATCTTTTCTCAAACAAGAGCTTTCTGCCCCTCAGCCTTCGCCATGTTGGTTGGACACGTCGGCAATGACCCTGGTGTGTGCTAAGAAGCCACCATTGCTAACACATCGTCTTTAACTTACCTTCGTTTCAGAAGGAACGAAACTTTTGACCGGACTAATCAATAGCACCAACTCAACGAGGTTAGCTTGCCTATAAACGGTGCCACTATACTGATCTTTGGAACGCCTACAGTTTTATTACACCCATATTTATATAAGCAACTCATTCACCGAAGCTTCATTTTTCGATAGTTTGCAAAAACACTATTTTTAGTTACTACTTAAATTAATAATCACCAACAATAAGAACATATATCAGATAAGTGAGCTATTTTTATTGGCGAGATTTGAAGCAAGTTATTTTTGATCATTTTACCTCACAATGAGATTGGGTTCATCTGTCCTATCAGTCTGCTTTTGGAAACCAACTTTTCTTTTATAAGAGCAAGCATTTTATAATATAACTAATTACTTGAATCTAATATACCCTCAAAAAGGCACTTCAGTGATAGTCTTATTTGGACGGTGAAAGGCGAACAAAAAGGTGCATCTGAACGACCTATTAAGTGTATACGGTTGTAGTCGGAGTCCTAGCTCCCTCATTCGTCTATATAACATCCCAAGACAATGCTGATGGCTTAAACACGTCTTTGGTGAATAGAAAACCTCAGGGATATCAGATAGTTCATAGGCGCGGCTCAATCGATAATCGGATTTATCTAAGACCTAAAGAGAAACCTTAGTCTAAGCGGCTAATATTTGATATGTAGTATTCTTACCTGCTTCGTTATTAAGCAGAATGATTATAAGAGGCCAGTGTTAAAATGCCTTCTGTTCATTTTTAGAGTTCAGACCAGTTAGTTATAATAAATGTTTAAAGAAACATTCATACTTTTAAAGGACACCAATTGAAAGTCTCATTAAGTGTGTATGGATCCAAAAACTAACTACGACTGCCGGACATCATAGCGGCCTTTTTCCAGTATTAGTGCACAAATATAGCCCTTTTGAAAAACCCATATCAACCTGAGCTCATATTGATATATAGTATTCAAATTAAAGAAGATCAAAAATATACCAGTTGCGATGGGCATATTTTATACAGTCAATTCAACTAATCTACTATGATTATTATTATTTCAGGTGAAGCCTTTAAGTCTTGCACCTTTTTTATTTTGTTTGCTTTTGTTAAAGTGGGCCTTGGTGCCTTCCCAAAACAGAACTCATTTTCTCTGCGGCGCTCAACATAAGTGATTTTTTTTATTTTTAATTTGTTACTCTTATGCTTGGATGCGTTTATCTTGGCGTTGAAAACGTCAGATTGACACCAGCTTACAATGTATCATATGTATAGTTGCAAAGTTTTCTATCTGAAGTTGTCACAGATGGCATTCATGTCGTGCTAACTCATCCATTATTACGAATAATGTTCATCTGTCCTGTTTTACTCATGTTGTCCTTATTAACTTCTACTCCTTGTACTATATCTACCTAACAATTGCACAGAGCAACTAACGAACTATGTTT